ATAGGGAGAGATAGGGAGAGATAGGGAGAGATAGGGAGAGATAGGGATGAGGGAGATAGAGAGAGATATAGAGAGATAGAGAAAGAGATGGAGATAGAAAGATAGATAAAGAGATAGAGATAGAGACAGAGACAGAGATGATACAGATATATTATGATTATGGATCAACCCTACTACATATTTGGCTTTTCACTACATCCCTCAATCCTCATGCACACATCAAATTGCATCTTGTACCGTTCCCTTCCCTGGTAATTTATTCCACTTGTCTATTACCCTGGGTAGCACTTTTCCAGCTGACTTCCTTTCTTATTCCCACGTTGCTTTCCTCTTCTGTTCTTTGCTGTCAGGCATTGCATGCTGGAAGTTTGGTGCCAAATCCTTCGGTAAAAGTTTCAACACAAGAGAGTAGCGGGCCAGCCAGCTGTTAGTTACTAAGCAACCTTCCGAAATTCAATCAATCGTTCAGTGACTTTGTTTGTCAGAGATGGAGTTTGCTGCAAGCTCATTTTAAAAATGCAGAGGAATTCCTTCATTTCTCTCTTTTTCCCTCCTGTCTGATAAGGTTCCTGCATCAAGAACCCATAAAAATCCTGAAGTACCACTTCTCACAGCAACATTGGTGACCTCTGACCTAAACCAGCTGTGGGTCAGAGGTGAACAAAACAGTTGTGATAAGGGGTTGTCAGACAGGGCACCAGGAAAAGCTCAGCCAACAGAAAGAGACAAAGATTCAAACTAGGGAACTCAGTTTAAGAATAAGAAGTCTTGCCTTCACAACTGGAATGAGGAGAAATTCTGTCAATGAAAGGGTCATTGGCCCGTAGCATTCTCTTCCCCAGGAAACAATGGTGGCTGGGTCACTGAATTTATTCAACAGTGAGTTAGATAGACTTTTGATAGACAAGGGAGTCCAGGGGTTGTGGGAGAGATTCAGACAGGAAAAGTGGTCAGACCACAACCAGATCCACCATGATCTTACCAAATGGCAGAACAGGCTCCAAGGGTCAAATGGACTACCCTGTTCTTAAGTTCTATCTTCCTAAGTATCACTGGAGGCAACATTTCTGTGTTCCTGGAACAAAAACAAAGTTGCTGGAAAAGCTCAGCAGGAAGTTCCCCAGTTCTGAGGAAGGGTCACCGGACCCGAAACGTTTACTCTGTTTTCTCCTCCACAGACGCTGCCAGGTCTGCTGAGCTTTTCCAGCAACTTTGTTTTTGTTCCTGATTTACAGCATCCGCAGTTCTTTTGGTTTTTATTTCTGTGTTCCTGCCCTGCTTTTCATGAGATCCCTATATTTAAAGGAGAATATACTTGCATTAGATTTGGTGCAGCGGTTTAGTTTCACCAGATCAGTTCCTGGAATGATCATCTCTGTCAACTGGGCCTATATTCTCCAGAGTTTAGTGGTGTGAGAGGTGGTGATCTCTTTAACACATACAGGATTCTGAAGTGGCTTGACTGGTAGACATCAAGAGGCATCACCCATTGGCTGGGAGCTCAAAATCTGAGGGAGAAGGGCTAATCATTTAGGACTGAGATGAGGAAACATTTCTTCACTCAGAGGGTTTATGAACCTATGGAATTCTCTACCCCATAAAGCATGGTTGCTCCATCATTCAATATACTCAAGGCTGAGATTTGTGGTCTCTTGTGAAATGAAGAGATGTAGAGAATAGGGAGAAAAGTAGAGTTGAGGCCCATAATCAACCATCATTATATTGCATAATAGAGCAGGCTCAAGGGGCCAAATGGTCTACCACTGCTCCTATTCCTTACGCTCCCTCATTGACCCACTCTGTTTATTAAATTTTCTGATCACAGTCCTGCTCTGAAACTACGCTTGGTCCCTGCTCCAATTGTTGGTATCAATCAAGCTGCTCGTTGATCTGACAAAGCAGAAAATGGAAGAATTTAGCCAGTTTTAACCAGTCGAGAGCGGGTGTACATTTCTCAAATGCAAATAAGAGTTCTGGTTCTGTTGAAAGTGTCCATTTCCATCATGATTTCCATTAATAATTGTATTGCCTATCGTCAAGTTAAACTACAACCAACCTGTTGCTATGGGAAACAGCGACTTCTACATTTGCACAAGATGTGAAATTTGGTGACCCAAACTCTGACCTATAACACAAACCCAGTTCCAGCATCTTCAAACACAAAACGTGTCATGATGACCTACAAAACAACACTGCAAGTACAGATGATGGAAACTAAGAATGTTTTACACGCATGCTATCCAGCAGTTTGCCTCAACACTGAAAATCCCCAAAAAGTGCAGTAGCACTTAATAAGAGATGGTGGTCACATATTTTCTGTGACAAAAAACCTTGATCAATCAATGAGCACCAAGGCATCTCTACGACTCATTATCTCTTCTCTGTTATCCAGATGCAAGCCCCAGGTGATTGTGTCAAAGTGGCACCCAGGTCCATGTGCCCATGAAAGTCCAAGTTTCCAATCACAGCATTTTCCTGCGTTGAGCACTGAGCAGTTTTCTTCCAAGTGGGAGTAGTCAGCATGGGCCCCTCCCAAGGCCTAGCAGTGGACTAGCCAACTAAACTTCAGCAGGAGACAAGAAGGAAGGGAGAGCTTTGAATGGAAGGGGAACACAAATTACTTTGAAAAAAAGTTACCACAATAAAAAGCACAAGACAGTAATTCTGCTTATCTATAAAGGTAAAGTCACCATAGTCCCATTCTTGATAACCTCACGGTCACCATGAGGTTGAGAGTGCAGCACCTTCATGGTAACCTCAGCCAGTGTGGGAATTGAACCCACGCTGTTGGCATCAGCATGCATTGCAAACCTGGATGACCATCAACTTGGTAAAAGACCTTCTTTGGCCTGACCAAAACTTGTTGGTGTTCTAGTGCGAGGAGTTGACCCTAACTGAATGTTGCAGACTGGCACATTCTACATGCTGGAGGGCACACAAAAAACTTGGGGCAGCTGTTGCCAAGGTGCAGTAAGGAAAGATCACCATTTAAGGCCTTTCTGCAGAAGTTAAATGGGGTCCACTCAGTTATCAGACTCTCCTTGGTGTCTCAAAATGTACGTAAACATAATCCTGCACCAGTAAGTAATGTTTTTGGTTTGTGAGTTCTGAGGAAGGGTCACTGGACCCGCAATGTTAATTTTGATTTCTCTCCACAGGTGGTGCCAGATCTGCTGAGCGTTTCCAGCAATTTCTGTTTTCGTCTGATTTCCAGCATCCACAGTTCTTTCAGTTTTTCCTTTGGTTTGTTAGATCGAGTCAAACTCCAATGATTGCTTGTTCCTTCATAGGCTACTGTACAGAACCAAACAGCTTTAGGGATTATGTATATAAAGTTTTTTATTAATGAATATATTTTTGAAAGAAAAAGCACAGCCAACTGAGCTAATCCATTCCCTGCAGTTTAGCTATAACCCATTTCAGAAAATTATAAACCTACCCTTTGGTGACTCACTTCTTTGCCTCTTGATTTCTGGACAATCACTATTGTTGTTTGGTGAACATACTCTTCGCTTTCCTAAAATTTCATCTGTGGAGGGGGGAAATAAAGAGAAGAGAGAGTAAAAAATGGTCATTATACTTTATCAAAGACCACCTGTACATCATTATATTTAGTATGGACTTTGTTGCCCTGCACTGTTTATACATCAATACTGTAAAAATTCATGCCAAAGTCTTGTTGCTTTTTTTTTTAAACTTCTCCATTGCTGCATCATAATTTTCCTTCTGCTGTAAATTTTGGATTTCCAACACGCACCCCCATTCCCCCATCACCACTTCTTCTTTTCCTTTCCTGAGCTAATTAATCTCTGTGCCCTCGCACCAGAGATCTCTAAATCAATTGAGGCAGAGAGAAGCTGAAGCACACACGTTAAAAACGAAACTGACCTTGTTTGCTATTTTGTCGTAATAAAATACTTCAAATCAGGCTGAACAACATTCGAGCAGAACGTGGGCACAAGTCGTCACCAATTACCCGCATCTGTATTAATCAAGCTGCGAATTTTACCCATGCATTCTCAAGATTGTTTTCAGAAGCTTCCTTACTTATTTCCTTCCTCTAATCTGCTGCCTTTCCCCCTCTCTCAGTCTGCTTAGATCTTCCTCTCCTCGTTCTAAACCTCTTGTGAGTCCCATTATTTTAGTTCCACCCTCTTGCTCCCCTTAGGTTCTCACTTTCCTCCTGCTGGATTATATGGCAATGGATAATCCTTACATCCGTGGCACTCTCTCTCTCTCTCTCTCACAACACCGACGCCAGCTTCTAATATACAATTACAGCGTACACTGAACAGATTTAAAATCAATATGTTCCTAATATCGTTGGTGAGACTGAAAGCATGATGCTGCATACGAACAGGAAGCAGCAGAGTGTGCGCATTTCAAACAACAAATTTTCAGCTGTCAGGTGCTTATTAACCAAACTGAGGAGACAGACACATGCAGCAGCATTCATTCCTTCTGACTGATGAATTCAGAATGCTGCAGATCACTTATTAAACCCACACCAGCCCTTCTTGCTCGCCTTCAAAGTTAAGTGTTACAATCACCAGGAAAGAAAAAGCACAGCAGCTTCTATCCCTGGCTTGTGCTGACTTAGCCCCGAGCAGCTCAGGAGGCAGCACTGTAATTGTCCTCGAGCTCCCTTAGATTAGGGGGGAGGGTGGTGGAAGGGGCAGAAATAAATCTGCCAGGATTCTCTCCTACTTTCAATCTATTAATCTTTGCTGGAGAGTGCACTAGCTTGGAAATGTGGGCAGAGGCAGATTCGAACCTAACCTCGGAGTCATACATGGCCAAATAGCCTGCCAAAGTTCACTGTCTTTTATGGAATCATAGAATCTCTACAGGGTGGAAGTGGGCCATTTGGCCCATCGAGTCCACACCAACCCTTTGAAGAACATCCTACCCAGACCCATTCCCCTACCCTATGTAACCCTGTATTTCCCTTGGCTAATCCACCTGCACATCCCAGGACACAATGGGCAACTTAACATGGCCAATCCACCCCAACCCGCACAAGTTTGGACTGTGACAGGAAACCGGAGCACCCGGAGAAAACCCAGGCAATAACCAGCTACCTGTGTGAGGTCAAAGATTCTGATACCTGTCATAACCCAGGAAATTCAATGTACACTTTATAAAAGTATAAATTCTTACAAGATGGGTGAGGGCAAAAGTTTGACAGATAAACATGCCCAGGTTATCAAAATTGCACCATGTCAAGAACAAAGAGTTTAATCTTAAAACATATATTCCCACTCTCCACTACCCATGTCAAACAGAAAGATTTAAAAGCCCAAGCACCTAGTAACCTTTAAATATGAGAGAGAAATTATTTCTGAAATAAAACAAGATTAACATTTACACAACAGAATTTCAAGACTAAGTGATGGCAGCAATAAGAAGAAGGAACAACACAATTTAATATGATTTGAAATATAAGATTAGCAAAGTGGCAAGAAAATGGATGTAACATCATTAAAAGCCACATAGTCAGGGTCAATTTAGTTATGTGTTTTTTATCTGACAATTTGGAAAATTAATAGACAGCTTTCAGGAACGGACTGAGCCTTCAAATAAAATTTCAAATCTGAGCAGCAGTTCACACATAAATGTTTAAAGAAAATGTGCACAGGAAAAAAAAGAGTTTCTCATCCTCATGACAATCTCTTTGAGAAAGCTGCTGATTACAGGAAAGGCTGATACTGTGAAGATTTTTAAAACCTTTTAATACTGCCATGCAATGACAGAAAGAAAAGTATCCAAATCAAAGTCTCCTGCATTTTCATTTCCCTGAATTCTAACTTTAATTGATAGTTACCAAAAGTACACAGCATTCATGGTAAACTGTCCACTACATGCTGACACAAATTTGAAATTTGTACTGGGCCACATTGATTTGGGGCATTAAATTAGAAAGCTTAGGAGCAACATACTCGTACACATTTTGGACATGCTTGTAAATCAGTATTTTGAACAAGTTTTCACTAATTGTGTGAACAATTGTGTTCTTTTAGCTAAAATTGCTGGAGAAAGTCAGCTGCAAGGCTTTCTCTCCACAGATGCTGCCAGACCTGCTGAGTTTCTCCAGCAATTTCAGTTTTTGTTTCAGATTTCCAGCGTCCGCAGTCCTTTCTTTCATTTTAGTGCTTATTTTCAGTTGCTGTCCTCTTTTATGTGCCTTCTACAGAAATTCATTCTCCTAGCAAAGGGCCTGGGTCATGTCCTATTCTTTCACCTTGTTTGAGGGGTAAGTACTGTCCAGATTGACAGGAAGTAATGACTCCTCCCTCTGATGGTTAAATGGATCCTACACAGAGATTAGTTTGGACAGATCTCATCCCAGTTCCAACGGCCACGGGGCCTCTCTCAACAGTTCAGGACTTCATTTTAATCAGAAAGCCAATACACAGATAGTTTATGCAACAAGTTGTAAATGTTCACAACTGTGCAATAATTAGCACTGAATTCACACTGGGAAGAAAATCTCAATGGCTGAGCCCTTACGAAGTTTGGGTTTGCTTTATAAGACAGTTGGTGTGAGAGTGTTACCTCTGAAACCTTTGTACAACTTCACACGCCAGGGTATGTGTGACATTCTCTGGAACAACTAGTCAGTTCTAGCTGCCTATGTCCTAGTTGTTACAGTTCGGTCAGCCTTACTTCAAATGGAAGTGACATAATTTGGGTTAGCCTAGCATCTCTTTGGAGATGCTCTACTGCAACTTGCTGGCTTATGACTAAGTCATAAACATTTCTTGTTAGTCAAGGACATGCGTCACTGCTTAGAATTGCTAAGTCCCTATGCTGGTATTAACAAGACAGATTGGAGACAGTAAATATGCGCAAAGGAGGAGTTAGCACAATCAGAATCAACAGAGGGCATTCTTACAACCACGTCAGGGTGGGAATGTGTGCAGGATAATGGTTTACCCCCAGTGTAAATGAGACAGAGCGATAATCCTTTCTTGTCTCACTGGTGCCCACTACATGTGTCGGGTTTCTGATTCTTTGCTTTTTGTTCATTGCAAAGAACAACGTAGTAAGAACATGGAAAAAATACAAGGGGAAAGAAAGAAGAAAAAAGTGACAGTTCGAGCGTGGAATTATACTCTGGGATTAATTTTCTACCACATTCCAAGAAATTAATAACAAAGTTTTTACAATTTACGTTATTCAAGTTAGAAATTGTTCACCGAAATTAATCAAAGGAAAAGATTTCCATGTGTCCAACACAGCACTCAGTTACTTCTGACATTTACATCCTAGATCCTTCTGTAATCGAGTAAAGCTACATTTCTTTTTATTCATTCATGGGATGAGGGCACCATAGACTAGGCAGCATTCATTGCCCATCCTTAATTGCCCAGAGGGCAGTTAAGATTCAACCGCATTGTTGTGGGTCTGGAGTCACATGTAGGCCAGACCAGATAAGGATGGCAGCTTCCTTCCCTAAAGGACATTAGTGAACCAGATGGGTTTTTCCCCAACATTTGACATTCAAATTTTTATTGAATTCAAATTCCACATCTGCCGCGGTTGCATTTGAAAGCTGTGTCCCCAGAACATTACATGGGTCTCTGGATTGAATAGACCATCCATAATACCATCAGGTTGTCACCTCCCCTACGTTCTTTCATCATGTTCATTCTGGTTATTTGTATTGTTCTTCATTTCCATTCCCAAACCTTGGATGTTAGCAGGTACAAGATCAACATTCAAGACCAGGGCCTTTTTATTGTTGACCGTTCTTTCAAAATTTGCCTGGCATCAGGAGGGGGAGTGTGTGATCATCGTCATGCTAACAAAAGGACCACTGTCAGTTAAGAAGATGCTCTTCATTGTTTTGCAATACACTCTTCTTATAAATGCCCTCACTTCAAGTAACACAAGTGGCAAAACAGCACAGAAAATTTAATTTCAAATTTCATGGTATTTCTCCCAATGAGCTATTCCACATTGAGCTCAGAAGCTGAACTAATTGTGTCAAAAAAGAACATTTGTGACAGTCAGCGGTCGAAGTCTGATGTCACAAGTGGAGAGAACTCCCTTTTACAGTACCCGAACAGTATAAATAAATTTGCAGTAAAACTTAAAAGCATCATCTGTAGTTTGAGCATTTTGTAAATTATGTTTTTAATATGGGCCCCATTAGTTGTCAAGAGTTTAACAAGTAGGCTTTTAGTCACTCAGCTCAGGGAGCTATTTTAACAGGGGCTGCAGAAGGAGCGGTAGATCCCATATTATGAGATACACTGCAGGGAATTAGGTTCATGGATCCTGTTATGATGACATAGCGCTGCCATTATATCACTCGGATAGTTCAGCACATTGCAAGCCACTTGGGCCTTGGTGCACAAGTGTGATACAACTTTTATTTTCAATGGATTCTGCCAGAAGCCAGTTTAGCTGAATATTAATAGCCGTTTTTTTTCATTCAATTCCTGACAATCCCATTTCTCCCTGAAGTCCATTATTTGCCGGGTACCCTCCAGAACCTCACCCATGGGGACTCGACAAAAAAAC